TCTCCCCCCAATGTAGGTGGGGGGGGGGGGGGGGAAAGTCCTCCTAGATACCTTGTCAGGAAATATTTCCTGAAAATTTTTGGTTTTCACAGATTAGCTTTTTCCAAGAGAAAGGTTGTCTCTGGAATTGCTTACCAAAAGTTAATTAAAACTTGTGATCCAAGTGATGAGCAGCCTTAAAAAAAACCTATTCTGTGTAGGTGCTCTTCGCTTGTTATGTACTTGCAAGTTTTAAACGTGAAATGACAATGTACAGTTTAGTGTTTTCAATTTTTTTAAGCATGCAGATTTGGTCGTTGTTGCACAATAGCTAATTCTCCCGGGAAAGGAGAGCAGTTCCCATGTGCTTTGAAATGCTACAGCTATGCAACCGGGGCTGGAAGTGCTATTTTAAACAGCCATATCAGCAGAGCTTGCTGTAGGAGATAATATGTCACAAAAGGGAGTATGACATCTAGTTTCACCTAGAAGATAAACCTTGAGTAGATATGCAGGGAGAAACAAGACTGTCAGGTTGTCCTTGAAAAGAATGGCCTATATTAATGAAGAAATGTTCTCCAGGGCATATGCTATTTAGGATATTTAATTTCATCTCCAAACTCGTCTGATCTGCTATGAAGAATATAGTAGAGAAACGGTAGTTGTGTGTAGTCTCCCGCATGCCATGATTTCTGAGTGGGCATCTCACTGCTTTATTTTCAGAAAGGTCACAGCCTCAGAAGTTCACGTCTGAAAAACCCAGGCCCCAGCCTGAGAAGTTTCCCCAGCACTATTAATATAAACGCCCCACACTTAAGCAGGGCTAGCATGGCCTCGTGCGCATCCCAAACAACCCTCTCTACGAGCATGAGAGCTAACGCGCTCTTCCTTTCCTGTCACGCTCAAATACCCTTGCAGAACCGTATTCTGCTGACAGAATTACAAGATAATTATAGTTAGGTGTTTTGTATTCACTTAAGTTAATCTACCACTTTTATTTTTCACTGGGGTTTTAATCAGGCAGGAGGCACTTCAGTTGGTGTCAGGTGAATTATTTTTCAGTCGTTCACTACACTGCTCTTCTTCATACTTGCTAGGGCGCTTCTGGCTTCCTGACAGATGTACAAAGAAAAATACTTATATGATCTAAAATGAAATACGTGTTTCTCTTTCAGGTCTAGATGTTGATGGAATATACAGAGTTAGCGGCAATCTGGCAACAATACAGAAGTTACGATTTGTTGTCAATCAGGGTAAGTGATTCCTCCACCCTGGTAATGTTTTGTTTAGTACTTAACTGTCTCAGATGACAGTATTTCAGGATCTGCTATACATTAGTGGCATAGAATGATGAGCTGTGTGTTGGAAAAGAGAGGAAAGGGAAGGTAGAAAGATATTGTACAGAGGGAAATGTCAGCTAGGAGAGAGTGAAAACAGCAGAGTAAGCAGAGGAAAATAGTAGTTAAAAAAAAGAGATAACAAACTTCTGAACACACCAACCAAACCAAAACAAAACAAAAAAAAAAAAGAAGAAAGGAGGAAATGGATACATGAAATAAGGTGGCAAAACAACAAAGCATATGTAGAAACCAAAGAATCAAAGTGAAGGGGGAAAAAAAAAAAGATTAAAAGAAAAATAGCAGATTGTTTAGATGATGAAAGTTAAACAAAACCAAAAGTAGAAAAGGAATCCAAAGGAAACCAGCAAAAGAGAACAAGGTGCTGAAAAGAACTGAAAAGAAATTACAAAAAATAAAGTATTGGCTCTGTCAAAGTCAGTGGAAGATTTAACACTGATTTTGAAAAAGCAAAGATTTGACCCCAGGAAATGAGAAGAGGAAAGATTAATATTTTGGGGACTTGAGAACCAGAATTAGAACCAAATATTGAGTTGCAGTTTTATTTACCGAACATATTTCCACAGATTCCACATATAAGGAACGTATTTCCACAAAAACATTTTTCACAGATGTAGCCTAAATGAATCTAACATTGACCAATAGATACTGTTACAGGTGTGAAGGCCAATATTAGTAGCTAAGTAGGATACATGACAAATCCATTCACCTCTCTGAACAAAGTCTTGACAAAGACTAAGAATTCCCCACATTTAATAGCTTAGCAAATATCGATGACAGTGAACCTCCTGAAACTACTTAAGGAGAAAATCAAATGAAGCTTCTCAGAAATTAGGAAAAATACTCAATCTTAAATTGCATTATAGACTCTCTACACTTTGGAATTATTCAAGTATGAATACGAAGCTGCTGCAACAATTTCTCCTACTTTTTATTAACTGTTTTAAGTTACTTGGAGACTGTTACCAGAACTGCTAAATAATGTGTCTTGTAGGTGGTTTTTTTGAGATGATAGCTGTTGGAGAACAACTTCCTCAATTAGTTTTGTACTATACGTAAACTAAGACTTGTGACTGAAAAATTCTTATGAAATATGAGATATGAGAGACATAAAAATATTCCCACCTTCAAGTCTTCATTTACATCTCCAGGGAAGGTTTCAGGGGAGCAGTAGATGTTAGCGACCTCTTCAGCTGCTCCAGATCAGTCTTGTCTTCAGTTGAAACTAGAGGATGAACTATGGTTTATGAGGAATCAGTATTTATGCCAGAAAATTCAGTGAGACTGAATAAATCATCAGGCTCATGGTTTTGACTCATTACTTGGGTTCCCTTAGATTTATAGTTGTTGGGTATTTGCATGTCAATAATGTAGTCTGCCTTGGCTTCCAAATGATCGTACACTGTATTTTGTTTGGAGACAGAAAGGCAAACCCAAGATTTTCTATCCTTCTTCACTGACTAGGATCTTTGCTCAGGAAAAAATGTGCCATAACAATAATGGTCCTGTCTGTCATGTCTCGTGGCATCCAAAGGTTAACGTACTTGAGGTTAACATTACTTCTCAAGTTTTCACCTAAAACAGATGGGCTGATACTGTAAATCTAGACAGAAGTCTAATTTGGCTTTTTCCAGCACAGAGGTACCAGGAACCTTTTTCTTCTGGTTTATACTACTGTGAAAAATGAATATATAAATGTGAAGTTAATAGTACATTAAAGCCACTCGGACACTGGTTACTTAGGGCATGTGCAAGAAATCTGCCAGTGGAGTGACCAAAGAAAATTCAAAAACTAATGCCCCTGGAGAAGTATGTTATCATCTTATCAGCTGAGATAATTAGTATTTCTTATGTTAGTCTTTAACGATACAACTAGGACACTTATACATTTCATATAGTAACAAAATAGATTTTCAATGGGAAGTGATCCAGCCAAGCCCACCTTATACATCCTTTCGATACAACTAGGACACTTGTGCATTTCATATAGTAACAAAATAGATTTTCAATGGGAAGTGATATTATCCAGCCAAGCCCACCTTACACATCCTTTAAAATCCCAGCTAGTAAAAATCAGAACATTCAAGAAATAACACAGACACAAAGAATGGCTGTAAGTTAGCAGGCCACTGTTTCAGTTGCTTAAATAACATCCTTTCTCTGTGCTACGTAGAAAACTGCAAAGCAGGAAACAGCCCACTGAGTCACCCTGTACCTGCAAAAGCCGCAGTGGGGGCATGGGGGTAACAGTATTTATTTAATGGGTGCTTGGGAGAGCAACAGTGGTTCTCACCCGATGTCCCCAAGATCCCGATGTCCCCTGTCAGTTGGATGCTGAAGGCAGTAGCAGTTTCAGACTGTTTCATGAAGTCACACAAGTGACTAGGAAAAGCAGCCTGTGCTCCCAATCTGCTTATTTACCAGTTCTCAAAAGGTCTGCAGTGGGATGATGTTTAATAACACATTCTCCACACCTTACTTTCACACGGTAATTACTGTGGCCTCCTCATCTCCATCCCCAAACCTTCATTTTTCAGTGGTTAACAGTGGGAAAGCAGTATTTTTATATATGATTTTCCCATAGATTTTTTCCATTATTTTAGTTAAAGTTTAATTTAATTATGAATGCAAACAAATGTTCTGAAAAATCCTATTTACACTGCAGAGATTTACTGTGCAATCAGTTCTTATACAGGCCAAATACTTAATAGGCCCTTCCTTCCTGCTTGCTTTGCCATTGTGTTACACCTACAGTTATAGGCTATAAATAACATGTATACTATTGAAAATTAAAGATCATAGAAGACACTTTAGGCTGCCTGCCATATCAAAGCATTTTTTATTAGAATGATCATTAATTAAAATATAGCAAAGCTTTATTTGGCTCCTTTTCCTGTACTGTTAATGTCATCTGCAGCATCAAAAATGAAATAAGAGAGAACTGGTGAATATGAAAGGAAAACAAACTAACAGTTGACAGCTTTACCATTAAAGAAGAAATAAGAACTGTAAAAATTTCAAAAGCCCCTGAAATTCTAGATTTTTGGTGATGAGGATGGGTTTGAAATTAAAAAAAAACCAACCATACCTTGTATTTTTTTTTAAATTGTCTGAATATACTTCGTGTTTCATCCTTATTTCTTGAGGTAGGCAGCTCCTGAAGAGAGCTTTGACCTTGCCAACACGAACATCAGCAGAACAAACTACCTTATTTACTTTATCCATTTCACAGAGTTTTCTTTTTCTATAGAAGTCTATTGATATCACACCTTTTTTGCTTCTGTGCAACAGGATTATCTTTTATCTGTGATTTATTTTCCCATTAACAGCTGAAAAGATCAGTTGATCATAAGAGGACCAGGCTATAACATCTCTCAGCATTTTTGTAACTCTAAGTCATCATTTTTCAAATCACTGAATCAAGGCAGTAGAAGCTGTTTGGATGTAACTGACATCAGGAAATTTGTACTTTTCTTAGTGTACAAGCACTGAAAGAATTTTGGGTGTAGAAACTAAGTTTCTAGTTATTCAGTGTTTCTGACTGAGAATCTATGGTAAAGGCTATTATAATACCCAGAGACATTAGACAGAGATGCCCATTCCTCTTATGCTTTCCATATTTTTGGTTGTCTAATAGTTGCAAAGTTCTAAATAAATTAAAAAAGTTAAAAATGTGGAGGACTTTTGCTGATTTCAAGCAAGGTCTAGTAAGTCAAAGACTTCACACATATTTTTAAGGATATTCTTGTAATTCACACCTGTAAGAAAAGGGATAAGGTACTGTAAATGGGTCTGCTAAGCCATGTAAAGTGTGCTAGCACTTCTAGGGGATGAGGGTGCTGCTGAAAGTGTTTTGGCCCAAAGCCCCAGGGTGGGGTTGACATGGGCAGGGGCGGGGCAGCCCCAGGTGGGGCTGCTCAGGGTCATTGACTCGCCACTATATATGAAAGTGGGGCGAGGTGATCCCGGTTTTCTGAGGGGATGCTGACAGAAAGGCAAAAAGTGTGTGAGAAACTTAAAAAAAAAAGATTTCATCCATAAGGGTGTTAGTAAGAGTGTGAATCTGTGGTGCGCTCTCTGCTCTGGTGGAACCCGTCGTGTTGACACGCACTGTGATGTAATGAGGTAAGGACCTTCTCTGTGCGAAACCCTGCGGGTTCCCTGTCCTGCTTGCACATGCAACTATCTCAGCAATCCTTAATTGCCCTCTGTGTTTGAAGACCAGAGGTACCTGAGGGAGGAGGTAGAAGCTTACTTCTTTATGCCTCCTGTGCTAAGCTGCTGGGTGGCAGGAAAGGTATTCAATTTCTTCAACTGTCAAACAAGCAATTTTCATGAGTACTAAATTAACTGAAAAAGTGGAGCTATAAAGGGTTCATAACACACTGCTGAAGCACTAAGATTCTATCCTAATGCATATATGTTCAGGGAAACTAACCATAGAAATACAAATTTCAATGCTTAGTGGTTCATTCGGTGAGTGTTGGTTCATACATAATACAAGAGCGATCCTAATTGTCTTTATAACCGATGCTTTGTTTGCAAAATGCTTGGTATTTGCTGTACAGATGACCTTTGCATCCCGTTATTTCATTTGGAATACCTTGTGCATTAGCTGCGAAACGTCACTTTCTCTACAAAGGTCAATTACTGTGTTTTTACGCTGTGGTTACTATACTTAGGTACCAAAGGGTTTGTGGTGAAAATATGAATTGTTGCAGAGGCTAAACATTATGTTATTAGAGAGGAACGTTTCTCATGGAACATAGGAAAGATATCTGAATTAGCAACTACACTGGGGAAAAAGGTGAATTTAATCTTACCCTGATATTACATCAAATTTACAAAAAAAAAAACATTTTCAGAAAAAATTCCAATATTTCTGTTCTTCCCTC